TGTGGTTTTCTGATGAGAGAGAAATATCTATTCTGTGCAGTAGATTCCTTTTTTACTCTAAAGCAATGTAACTGGAGTGATTGACTTTTATATATTCGTCTTAATATGTGAAAAGAAAATATTTAAATTTATTTTAATATTTAAATTTTGTTTCTCTTAAATCAGTTACCTACCAAACATGGAATTCTACTCTTTTGCTTTAATCTGCCCAACCATGAGGAACATAATTTTCTGAGACATTTTATAAAGGACTTTATATTTACCTATGTCATAGAAGTGTATTGCTTTTTGCCCCTCACTTTAAAAATTAGTGCAGTATTTAAAATTAGGATCAGAAATTGAAGAAAACTATTGCACACATTTTGAATCCACCAGATGCTCTGTGGGAGAAAGCTGGCCAATTTTGTCTCTCTGATTTACAGCCTCTAAAAACCCCTGGAGTGTCAGCTCTGAGTTGGTTCTAACTGAATAGCACACAACAACAGCCGTTTTATTCAATATACTATTTAACTATTCAATATACTATTTAACTATGTTATCTCTTAACTTTTTCTACCTTTTCATCTTAGAAGGTTGGATGAACTAGCTACTTGATAGATGGGGAACTGTTTTCTGGTATGTGGGTCTGTATGGGCCAGGAGATGCTAGAATCAGGACCTTAACCTGGGTTAGTCATGATTGATAAAGAGAATCCAGAGCAGACGCAATTTTTCAAAATTTGTGTGATCCAGACACTAACTGCAGTGCGGGAGATGACAAGTTGAAGGCCTAGAATAAGAGATTGGAAAGAGACATCATGGGTCTTTCAGGAACCTGGTGCATAACCTTGGGTTGTTGCCCATGGAGGACAGCTTACATTCAGAGCAGCTTAGTTGGCCACCATCTTTGAGCTGGGCACTGTTTTTGTCTCAGCCAGACAAGATTTGGTAACTAGGTCATGCACAAATTGCCCTTGTTTTCTGAGAAATGACATTTCTAGTAGGATTTCTAATTATAATTTATCACATTTTGGTAATAGTTCTAGCAGCATTTTTTGAAATGTAAATTCTTAGACCATCACTTAGCTGGTTTAAAATGAAACCCTAGTAAAAGCTCTGGTGGCCTAGTGACATGAAGCTGCAGTACAATCCCAAGGGCACACAATTCAAGGCCACCAGCTGCTCCATGGGGGCGGGGGGTTGGGCAGTCTCCTCCCATGTGATTAACTGCCTCTGAAAACCCTGCGGAGGGTCAGCTGTGGGTTGGCTCCAACGCGGTGGTACACAGCAACAAAACAGTAGAATAAATTACCACAAGTCTGCAAAGTTACTGCAATACAGCTTTCAATTTTAAATGTTATTTAATATTATTGGCAGTTTTATTATTGTTGTTGTTTATTGCCATTGAGTCAGGCACAACTCATAGCAACCCTGAGAACAAACTAGCTGAAGCCTTTCTATAATTATCATAGTTTCTCAAAGTTCATATGAAGCCTTTCTATAATTATCATAGTTTCTCAAAGTTCATAGTTTCCAGAGGCATGTTGTTTAGGAAGTGGGTGCCACTCCTGCTTCCAAATTTTACTGTAATTTTATAATTAAAATTTTAATTTGAAATAAAAACTTTATAATTTAATAATTCTATAATTTTATTAATATATATAAACTAAAGTAATTAAAATTTGTATGTGAAATGCAGAGAAAGAATTTATTCCTTTGAATGAAAAATGCAAAATAGGTCAGTCCTGAATCTACCTTCAGTTGGACTTCATTTGTCCGAGGATATATAGTATTTTCTACCTCAAAATGGAAAGTTCACATGACTACAATGCCCAATTAGAGTAATGACTTGGAACAACTTTGATTAGAAGTGTTTCCAGAAATAAGTAACTTGTCTTCCCAAAGAGAAGAAGCAGTGGGCATTTCCTTTTAAGTTTCAGGTTACCTGAGTGGCACTCCCAGGTCCCTCCACTCAGCTTTCCACCTGTGGTGCCCAAATGAAGGACTGTCTTGACAGTTCTGCTGCTTGAAGCCTCACACACTTTAGACTGCCTCCTCTACTTCCTCCCTGGCTTACTGCAGTGTCTATTGTGTGTAACAATAAGGAGCAGGTAAAAGGGCAAGGACTATTCTGAAGTAATCGTTTCCTACACTAGGAACACACATCCACTTTTTAAATGTGCTTTTTATTTTAAAATTGGTTTTCGCAAAGTCAGTTGTATACATTATGCTTCACTCATGTAAGCTGTTTTTTATAGTTATTCATGTGCATTGTGTTTTACATAATTACTGTTGATCAGTGCCTTTGATCACCCTATCTCATGAAGTCTTAATCGCCCCTTGTTTATTCTTTCATACACACCCCACCAATCTCTGCTGTGGGGCTTTTTCTCCCCTTCCCTTTTGAAGAGTTACTCCTATCCTGTCCCTATTTGCTAATTGCTGTAGCCATATTAGGGAGTTCTGGGGGCCTAGTGGCAAGAAGCTGTGCTGCAGTCACAAAGGCAGCACGGTTCAAGGCCACACCAGCTGCTGCATGGGAAAGGATGGATAGTCTCCTCCTGTGTGATTAACTGCCTCTGAACACCCACCAGAGGGTCAGCTATGTGTTGATTCCTACTCAACAGTACACAACAACAACATCAAAGCCATATTATCCTTTCATCAATTTTTCCCAGATTGATCCTCCCTTGTTCTGAACCTTCATGGTATTCATTGTCTGTACGTTCTATTTCTGCTTTCTCCATCCCTCTCAGCCTTAAAAATGTTTTTTATTGAACAATATACTTAACAAAGTCATATAAATAGCATATAACACACATACATACATACATAGGAGACTAAAATATTAATTGTTAGAGGGAAAAAAACATTTAACGTGTACGTTACTCATGTAAAACGCATGATGCATCAAGTGAGGCACCCTAGTGGGATGAGGTTTGCCTTGTTGCTAACCACAAGCGGTTAGAATCTTCAGCTGCTCTGAAAGAGAAAGGTGTGCATTCTGATTCTTTAAAGATTTGGGGCTTTGGAAACCCTGAGGTCGTTCCTACATGGTTGCTATGACTCTGAGTCAACGTCACAGCAATGAAGTTTTTTTGTTTTTAAAAATTTATGTAGTTCATGCAGTAATGATTTTTTTAATGCCTTTATGAAGAATACAATATATATAGAAGGAATCTTCAGCCATGCTTCTTGAAATCTTTCTTATTTCCCCAAGATGGTTTTTAATCCCAATAAAATAATTAATCTTACTTAAGTATCTGATGTATATTGTATTAATTTTTTTATGTAAAAATTGTGGTGGGTTTTTCTCCTCCTGTGTCTTTGCATAGGAAATTGACGCTCTTGCATAAGCTGTATTTGCATGTGAGAGCTAATTGTATTCTTAAAAGATTAAAAATGCTGTTAATTATATCTTCAGCTTTATAGTACATTTAGACATACTTCTGATAGACTTAACACCAAGTTCTTGATCAGAAATAAAGCCCACTTAAGATATTCTCATGGGAAAATCAGTGTGATTTAACAGGATGCTTTTATTTGACTCGCTGATTTCAAGAATATTGTCTGATGTGATTGAGGTGCTGGTGAACAGGTGGGCGGACAGGCTCCTTGCACTGATCCTAATTTAAACTGCACCTGCAAGAATTTCGGTGTCGCTGCTGAGCACCCTTAGTCCCAGGTTGTTTCTGTGTAGGTTTAGTTTATCCCTGAACCCAAGGACTTTGTTGGGCACTACACCAAATGTTTTTAGACTTGCCATGTGAACATTCTTTTGGCTGGTGGTGGTTCAAGATCATAGTGTGTCTTTGAGGTGCTGGATTACTAGTCTATTCTGTGTCCTGAAGTAACTACTGATTTTTGTGTAAGAAAGACCTAATATTGTAAACATCAAATGCTGGCGAGGCTGTGGAGAAACTGGAACCCTTATTCACTGTTGGTGGGAGTGTAAAATGGTACAACCACTATGGAAGGCAGTATGGCACTTTCTCAAAAAGTTGGAAATAGAAATACGATTTGACCCAGCAATTCCACTACTGGGAATATACCCTAAATAAACTGCAGCTGTCACCCAAGCAGATATATGTTTATTGCTGCTTTGTTCACAGTAGCAAAGAGTTAGAAACAACCCAGGTGCCCATCAAGAAACGAATGGATAGAAAGCTCTGGTATATTCACACAATGGAATACTATGCAGCATTGAAAAACAAGGAACTCATGAAATACAAAATGGTGACCCTGGAGGACATTATGTTGAGTGAAATATCTCAGTCACAAAGGGACAAATACTGCATAATATTACTGTTGTAAAACGTGACTGACATAGGGATTGGGGAAATCTAAGAAAAGAGGGGATAAATAATGTATAATGCATTGAAACAGATGAGGGGAAAAACTGTGTGGAAAGAATATATGATTAAGTATTATTTTCATGACAAGAGTCCAGAATGAGAGCTGTATGGGGAGTGGGGGGTATATGAAAGTTGTTGTGTTTTTTTTTGTTTGTTTGTTGGTTTTTTCTTTTTAATGAGAAAAATCACCTGGAGGGAGGGGTGGGCGGGGAGGAAAATGTGCAACAATGAATGAGTGGAAATCCAGAGTCTCTATAAACTTTCATTAAAATCTCAATAATAAAAAATAAAGACCTAATATCAATATTTTGTCTCCCTTTTTTTGGCCTACTTTTAAGACATATGGTCTACTTTTAAGACATATGGTCTTATATTTACAATGAGGTTCACATCCTTTCAAGAAAAGAGCTTCTTAAATTTGTCCCCCTACTATATTTTTAATAGTAAATTAGGCATTGCCATTTTATACAAAATCAGGTGAATATTTCAAGTATATGTTATTTACCCAGCCCTGGGGGGTGGCATTGTATAATACAATGAATACTTTAGGTGGAGAGGCTTTGATTTATAATGAACCAAATACCTAAAAATTTCAATTTGCTTTCCTCATCTGCTTGATTTAATTACTCAACAAGATTTTTTGTGTGTTCTTACATTTCTGTTTCAGACCCCAGATTCTTTGTGGTGACATTGCGGAGAACTAAGAACAGAAGATGAGTGAACTAGACCAGCTACGGCAGGAGGCCGAACAACTTAAAAATCAAATTAGAGTATGTAGCTACATATGTTGTGTTTTAGTTATCATGTGGGCTACAGGTCAGGTGTTTTAGGAAAGGTGACCTGAAGGAATTCATTTGGCCCCGGCAACACTTAACACATTGTCACACACCTTTAAAATGACGATCGTGCTTAGATACCATGTGGGTGGCTTTCAGCATTTAATTGTCTGTTATTATTTGAATATACATAAATGTTCCAAAAGACTTCATAAACAACTAATTTTAATTTTAAAAAAGTCAATAAAAAGTGTTTTTGTTATACCTGAATTATTTATACCTACTTTTAAAAGACAGTGTTCTCTACGGGTGGTCCTAGGAATCTGCAAACTTTGGTAAATCTAATTGAGAAAACCATGCATGGTTAGGCTGCAGTTTTACAAAGATTAACATTTACAGAATTCTCAAATTTAATTCCAATCTGTGACTGATATGCAGTGTTGACTTGTAGAACCCATTACCTAAGCTAATGAAGTAAAAGGAGTATATAGTTTTGGAATAATTTTGCTTTTTCTTTAGGCAGTATTTTTAATGAGTATTTCCTAGAAGCTTCAAATACCAGTAGGTTTTTTTGTTCTCAGGCAACTGAGATGAAGAATAAGAGAAAAAAAGTGGGCTTATCAGAAGAATCATATTCTTAGGATATAGTCAGAGACATTTTTGTCCACTTGATGAAGAACTGTACTCCCTGGTTTCTTGTTTCCATCTGAGAGGCATTTGCCATCCTTCACAGCACGGCTGGGTGAGAAGTTGAAAGCATTCAGCACATACCCAAACAAAAGTCTATTTTTGTGAATTGACTGTAAAGATAAAGTCTATTTTGTTTTAAGTGCCCAATTATATGTTCAAAAAGCCTGATGGTAGTTGGAAAGAGAAAAAAAAACATTTTTATTTTGGCCAAGTTTTCCTTGAACATGAACAAAAATAATGGAATTATCTAGATTGATAGTGAGGAAATGAAATACCTGTCTTCTCTAAGAATTTAAAATTTTAACATTTAAAAGATCAAATACAGTTCAACAAAAATAATAGGGGTTTGGTGTTGGAGTTTTCATAAGATTTAAAATACTTTTCAGCTGTTTGCCATCTACTTTTGAAATTTTATTTATCCCTTTTTTTACCAAAACAGTCTCATAACTAATGATTGAGATACTGGAATTTAGAGGCAAGGAATCAACACTTAGCATTTATCTGAAATTATAAGTTACCAATTGAAATTTTCAAGTTAATCTTGCACTATTGTTATAACTGTAGTCTAATTTGGCTTATTTTGAGAATTTTTAATTTTTTTTCCCCCCTCAAAAACTGCTGTTCAAATATGGGTTTTGTGACAGATAACATTTGTATGCCACATGTGGCAGACGTATCCAGATTTTTAAACAAAAAAGAGGTTATTGTGTTCTGTTGAATTTTTAGAAGAGTAATGGTGGTGCCACAATGTTTTAAAGCTCCTGGTCCTGCTTGTGCCTAGGACACCCAGAACCACAAAATGTCATGGCGCTCACCAACCAACCACAAGTGTCCATGTGGCCACATTCAACTATAAAAAAGAATGAGTGAAATGAAATTTTACTAGAATGGATCAAATCATTATATCTAAAAGATTACCACTTCAACATGTGATTAATAAATTTATTAAAATATCTTAGTCTTTTTTATACTGAGTCTTCAAAACTAGTGTTTCTTTTATGCTTACCTGCGTACCTGTTTCCACGAACTGCATAGCAGGTGCTCTGTGGCCTCTTGGGGCTTGAGGCCGCCGTTTGGGACAGCTCAATGTTCCTGCAGGAGCAGCTGAGCTTCATTCAACAGTTATGCGAGTTCTCTACAGTTCTTCAGTTTTTGTCTTCGTAAAGTGCCTTGTTAGGTGCTGGTTGAGTTTCTTTATGTAGTATAGGGATGGTTCAGGCTGTTTGAGTTCATTACATCAAATGGAAAAACCGACAGCCAATCAAACAGCTGTAACTTTTAAAAGAAAAGGAAGAAAGCAGAGCATGAAGAAACAAATAAGAAGTGGTAGGTAATTCAAAGAAAAGTTATTTCTTAGAATTGTTTTCAAGCTGAAAGACCCACAAATACTGAATCTTATGTCTGATTCTTTGTTTAAGGAAATAAAGGTGCTCAGAGGAATGTTGACTGAAAATGTTGTTGTTATGTGCCATCGAGTCATTTGCGACTTATAGCGACCCTATGTACAACAGCCCTAAACCCTGCTCTATCCTGTGCCAATCTCATTGCCTCTGACACACCCATCCCGATTACCCCAGTCACTAAATCAGTCTACCTCATAGAGGGTCTTCCCCTTCTGCGCTGTCCCTCCACTCTGCCCAGCATGATGTCCCTCTCTAAAGACCTGTCTCTCCTTACAACATGTCCAAAGTATTTCAGGCGAAGCCCCAGAATCCTTGCCTCCAAGGATCAGCCTGGTTTAACCCTCTCAGATGTACCAGTAATTCCCTGATGGGTTAAGAAAAACTCCAATGCAGTAACATCAGTGTGGATTTTTAATTGTTTTTAAAACAAATTGACATGTGCTGCCCTCCCCAGTATATCGACAAAGGCCCCACACCAATATGGTAGGCCAGCTGCACTGGGACATTTGGTCCAGATTTTGTCACAAGTTACTATGAACTGAGCCAGGATTCTGTTTATGGCACACGTCCAAATAGGGTCAAGAATGGACTAACATCTGATGGATTGGTGGCCTAGATATAGGAGCTGTGCTGCAAACCCAGAGGCACACAATTCAAATCCACCAGCTGCTCCACAAGAGAAAGATGGGCAGTTTTTTCCTATATACCCACTGAGGGTCAGTTCCAACTTGGATATAACATCATAGGTTTCCTCTGGTTTAAGTAGATAGTAATGGCAAACATTTATGTATTAGGTAACATTTCTCATCACAGACAATATAGGGTTGTTGTTAGGGGTTTGGTTGGTGGGGGTTTTTTTTTTTGTTTTGTTTTGTGGTTTTTTTTTTGTTTGTTTGTTTGTTTTTCGGTTCCCCTCTCCCCAGACAATATAGTTTTGTACTAAATATATCCATTGCACATATCTTCTTAAGTTAAAATTAATCTAAACTTATTGGAAAATTATGTTTTCTTCAGTGTTATCAGAATCAAGGCTCTGTTAATTCCCCACAAGAGTTGCATAGAAGAATAAGATACTATATTTTGTTTGTATGTATTTAGTGTTTTGTATAATATCAGGAACCGCTGACTAAATTTACTCAACTTAGGGCATTAAATATCGTGTACTTCATAGTTTGAGACTGTTCACTCAAATAGGGCAATGAGTACTATTCTATCTAGATGTGTAAGTGTTTTTTTAAAAATCACACAAAACGGTTTTTTTATATATACTAAAAAGTGGAGGGAGATTTGTTTAAACAAATATTTCTAAAAGAAATATGTACGTAGTCCTGGAAATTATTTGTGGTAAGGAAATATTCTTTACTCCAGTTGCATTTCTCAGACAATAAAGTGGTGCATCCATGCTACCTCCTAAAAAAAAAATAATCTAAAAAATGTTTAAGGTTTCTGACTTCACTAAGCAGTTAATAGAGCTTCTCATGAGAAGATTTTTTTTTCAGCAGTCTTAAAAGTTCAAGGTATTGGTTATGAGAAATGCTGTGCCAATTTATATAAGCATTCACGGGCTAAAATAAAGACCTAATTTCTGTGTTAAGTTTTTAAAAACAATTATCTCCCCATAATCTGTTGTTTAATATATTTTGATATCTTTGGATGCTTGAAGTAAAATAAAAATTATTTAACTTTTCTCCTTGAAAAATTATTTTTTATACTTAAAAACCATTTTTAAGAACAAAAATTACATTCATAAATAGTTAAATATTTGATGTTGCTATGAACCTTTGAGTCAGAACTGGCCAATAGCAGACTCTGCAGCCTATTTTTACAAAGGTAATAAACTGAGGGGAAAAGGCCCACCCTTCTCCAGAGCCGTTGGTCAGTGCGAAGCACATTCCTTTGGGTTGACGCACAATTCCTTACCACTAAGCCACCAAAATATTTGATGGGTAAAATTTATTGACAAAAAGATGCTTAATCTTGCCTTCTGGTCTTACTTAATTAAATTTAGTTGCTGGCAAAGAAATACTTGATTGGATAATTTCCTGTGCTTCACTTATAAACAGAATGATTTCTAATATCACATTTTTTAATTGATTTTTAAGATCCAAATCTTAGCTTCATCTAAAAATATAATGTCTGTGAATATATTTACACAATATTCACTGATAAATGTTCTCCCTGACTCAATAAAAGAAGAAAATAATTTACAATGAGGCCATTTGCCCACAGGACCTATTTCCTAGGAAAACTTCTCAAAGCTCCCATTATGGCACTTGATTCATATTTTTGCCAGTCAGTGTTGTGGAAGTTCTTGGTCAAAGGATTGTAGTGGAAACACTTTTGTTACTAAACATTGTCATAATGTAAAAATTACTTTTTATATAATCAAGAATACTGCAAACATGAATGATTCTAGAACATATTATGCTATGTGACGTAAGCCAGATATAGAAAGGTAATTATGATATAATACCGCTGATACAAAAAGCTAAGGAAAGGTTTGCACACAGATAAAGTCAATATTGGCTAGTTAGCATGGGTAGGAATGGAGGGAGAGGAGAGTAAAATGAGTGAATAAGATGGATGAAAGGAAAGGCAGTATACATAAGAGGTTAATTAATCATTGTGATTAGTTGATTACATCAATTAATACTGTTAAAAAGTCTATGTATGAAAACCCAGTATAGTTTGTAAATCTTGACTCAGAAATTTCAAAACATTTTAATAGGTAAAAATAGAATTATTTCCTTTGAAATTTTATAACTGACAGATGTCTGTACCCAGTTTTGAACCTTTTTAAGCTGTTGTCTGATGATTCTTCATGTCTGGCTTTCAGTTTAAAAATATGTATGGTAATTTAAGACTTCAGAATTTTTTTCTAGTAAAGAATGAAAAATTTTTAGTTAGCATTAGAGTATCATTCATACAATATATTCCATAACATCTTAGCTGAATTTGATTATCTAACTCCAAAATCTCTTGCTTCTCTTCTTAGAATTCAGAATGAAAGATTACATATTTGAAAATAAGGCCCTTAGTTAATACAGTCTAGAGGATAAGCTCTTTGAGCTAGATAGTGGTCTTTTATTATAAAGACCAAGCAGGAGGCATGAACAGGGACCGTTCCCAGGGAAGGATGTTCTGCACAAAAAGGAGGAGGCGCACCAGATTCCACTGACTGCCCTGAGCTTACTGTGTGGGCCTCCCAGGCTACAAGAGGGCTTTAGTGGACAGATGAGGCACCCTATCTGCAGATCTCTAATGCAGTTTACTGGCTGGTATGTTTAGAGCGCTAATAACTCCATAGAGCATATAGATACATTTTTCTTAAATTTTTTTTAATTAATATTTTTTAAGCGTGTACTGTCAAATCAGATCTGACTGGTACCGGAGGAGATTGTCTCTCCTTCAGTAGAGCATCTGATGGATTCGAACCATGCACCTCTGGGATTGCAGTGCAGCTTTTTGCTACTAGGCCACCAGAGCTCGCCAATATAGATATATCTTCTATCCAGTACCTAAATATTCCAAAGATTGCTATGGCCTTTAAGGTATTAGAAAAAGGGGAAGGAAAGATGACTCTGTCCTTTTATATTCTGTTTTTGCCTCTAATTGTATCAAGGCTGTTTAAAACTCATTATAGGTGCCTAGAATCAAATGTGTTTGAAACATCATTGATTTCCCTTTGTGTTTGTTCCTTTCTAGGATGCAAGGAAAGCTTGTGCAGATGCAACTCTCTCTCAGGTAAGAGCTACTTTGATCATCCAAGGCCAACACCTGATAATAGTTTAGAGATGGTGCTCACACCAAGGACCTCCAGCACTAATTCTGAAGGGAAGTCCAACAGCTGCCGCTAGACACATGAGGTGGAGGTATTTTAAGATTAAAAAAAGTAATTCTCAAGCTTTACATCATTGCTTTTACAAAGGAGGCTGTCTCATATCTGATCCTCCAGAAAGTGATTGTTTTTTTCTTTTTATTCATTGTACATTTTCATTCTCCTTTTCACCAGCCCATTATGCAGTGCATCCTTGTTTCAGAATGTTGTAATACACCTCCAGCAGGTTTTAAGAAGCTGTAAATCACACAAGAGGAGATTACTTGTATTTCTCCCATGCAGCAGCTAGTGGTTTTGAACCACCTGCTTTGGGATTGGCAGCACAACTTCTTATCCATTAGGTCACCGGAGCTCCCTGATGGAGACTATACTGTTGTTTTGTGCTGTCATGTTAGACTTGACTTTTTTAAAATCCACTAATGTGGGTTTAAAACAAACCCACGTTTATTCCATAGGTTGTTGTTGAGTGCCGTCAAGTCAAGCATGACTCTTAGAGACCCTGTGAACAAAAGGCCTGAAGCCTTTCTATAACTAGCGTCAGTTCTCAAAGTTCATAGAGTTTCCAGAGACATGTGGTTTAGGAAGTGGATGCCTCTCCTCCTTCTAAACTTGTCTTAAACTGGGAGCTCCACCAGACATTGTCCACCATGGTCAACCGTTATGGCATTTGACCCTTTAAAGGCCTTAGGTTCAGCATCACAGCAAACCCAGATTACCTCAGCACAGCAGATTGACAGGGAGTGCTCTACAACTTTAGAAGAATGTTCCAACCTACTTTTAAATGCAAGGACCCTCCATGGGTAGCCATTATGGTGTTTGACACAACCTATATAGCACAGTTGTTTGGCATTACAGCAACTCCAAGTGACTTCAGTACAGCAAATAGACCATCTTGTATACCACTTACAAGAATGTCACCCCAAAATCAATGAACATTTATTTATTCCATATATAAACCTAAAATCATAGTGTCAGGCATATTGATAGGTCAAGGTGAATCAGAAAATATTTGTAGCCATTTTGATGCTATGAGTGGTAGCAGCGTAGGTACAGAGAGAGACTATTGTCTGGATCAGAGCCATAGGCAACACGTTGGCACACAGCTGTTTATAGTGTAGCATGGGCTGAAGATGAATGCTCATGTAAAGGCAGAGAGGAGCCAGGCCACGGGAAATAGCAGATTAGACAATAGAGAGAAGGGGGAGGTCAGGGCAGCACAGTGAGCATGTGCACAGGGCAGAAAGCATGAGGAGACCCAGACTGTGGGTACAGGGATGATTGCAGCAAAACCAGAACACAACAGAGTAGGAGTCATAAAAGGGGTCCGATTCAGTGTTGCTGTAACAGCCCTTTGATGTGGGTAGCATAAATTGCCCCTGAACTAGTCTTGGGAAAGGGTATGGGATACAGACCGTGAGTGAAGGGGCACCGCCTAAGCGAAATGGACGGGATGGCAGGAGCTCCAGGGTGCGAGTTTACTTCACTACAGATGTAAATGCTAAAAGGACCTTCTTTTTAAAGATTACAAACAACATCGACCCTGTGGGAAGAATCCAGATGCGCACCAGGAGAACGCTGAGGGGGCACCTGGCCAAGATTTACGCCATGCACTGGGGCACAGACTCCAGGTACCTGGGGACCTATTGGGGTGTGGTATTCGTGCTTCCAAGGGTGGCTTTGTTTTCTAGGGAAAGAACTGAGTGCATCTGTTGTCATTGGAGCTGGGGTAGGGGGAATTAAGTTGATTTAGATAGTGAAATTAAACATTGTATGACTGTAACACCTAACATTTTTAGATACCTAACAGTATTTTTTACATGCCTTTCCTTGAATAGTATATTTTGTTTAATTATCAGAGTGGAATTTTCTGCTTGGCTTTCTTTGTTCATGAAATTGTCTGCTTTGGTGTGTAAACAACTAGAGAACAAAAGATTCTATCTTTAGTCTGTTCCATACAGTATCCCATACAATTCCACATGCAAATGAGAGCTAGTTCCAATCCTTTAATGATGGCAGTAGTTGGGGGAAAAGAGCAAGCAAGCAAAAACAAAATGTCCTAACTAATCAATCTGCTTCAGAATTTATTATCAGACATTGATGATAATGTATGTTCCATTTTTGGGAACTTTGACTCCATCTGTGGACTCTTTGTTATCTTAAATAGCCAGGGCTCCAGTTGGGTCTTATCTGAGCTCAAGAGTGGTTTTGGCTCCCCAAGCAAAATACTCTTTTAGCAGCCTAGTCTTTTAGTTCAAGTGTCAGGAATGCCTGTGGTAAAACTGGCCTGGAAAAAAACTGACCTAAAGGGTAGTCAGTGCTACTAACATAGAGGTGCTGGGTTGCATTGAAGATCTCCAGGGATTGTGACCAGGGCAGTGGAGCTGTAATGTGGCTCAAGGAAGTCAGGAAAGTTGATACATGCTGACCGCCCAAGGTTGCAGGCTGTTGTTGTATGTAAGGTTTGGTGTTCATTCTGGACCTCAGATAAGAACTGTGCTTTGTAAGGCAGAATTCAAAGAAGAAAAGCGAGGAAGTGGACAGAAAGCTCGAAATTGAGAATAGTGGTTAACCTGCAAGGAGGAAGGGTGGCAGCAGAAGCCCAAGGGATATCCTGTTGGTCCTGTTACCCTTCTTGTCCAGGGTTGCTTGATATCCGTTTTATGCCTGCTCTTTACACTGTACCTTTGCTTATGTTCTCATGTGGAAGTCCTCCTTTACCAACACGAATAGGAAACAAAGAACGAATGGTGTTAAGAGACCTTCTTTTGCCATTTAAGATACAACTGTCTGTATTCAATATGGGGCATAAAAGAAAGAAGGAAACTCAGAAGAACCAAGTGGTTGGATCAGAGCCAAGCAGTAGCTTCAGCATCTCTCATCTTCTCTGTTTTATGTCTCGTTTTGTTTCTGAAAACATGGCTTTCTCTGGTAATGTCATTGTGTTCAGTGACATGATGGTATTTAAGTCATTGACACCAGAGTAGGTGAAGGAGTGCAAGAAGACAGTGCTCTTTTGCTTGAGCGAGGACAAGAAGAACATCATTTTGGAAGAGGTCAAGGAGGCCCTTGGTGGTGGTTTGAACCAGACTGTCACCATTCCCTATTCCACCTTTGTCAAGACAGTACTGGGTGAGGGCCACCAAAGCACCCTCTGATGTAACCTGTGAGACCAAGGAAAGCAAAAAGAAGGAAGTGGTGTTTATCTTCTGGATCCCTGAATTTGTGCACTTGAAGAATAAAGTGATCAATGCTAGCTCTAGGGACAGGGAACTCTCTGATGGTATATAGTTCATAATTGTTGCACTCATAACCAAGAAGCTTTCTTTTGGTGATCAAACATGAATTACAAACAACCTACTACAAGGTGGCCAAGGACCACTGTACCCTGGCAAAGAAACTGGGGATCAGGGGGGCAACACTGTCATCTCCTTGGCAGACAAGACCTTGTGAGCCCCTTCCAGACCCCTGCCTGGAACATCTGATAGCCCAAACCTGCCCACTGGGGGAGAAAATCACGACCGTGACCCCTAGGATTTTCACCCTTAATGGAAATGTTCTGGCCTTCTCAAATCACTTTACTTTCCAAGTTCCTCTTGAGTTGATAACAGACCAAGTTCTCCTTGCCCAAGAATTCTAATCTAGAAGAAAACAGCCTTCCCCCTCTCCCCAACAATACACATCTATGCCTCTCCTTTCCATGCTGTCTGCTTCTAACGCCAGCAATGATTCTATGCTTATCTATTTCCTTGTGTAAATGAATTGTTACATGGAGATGATTCCTCCCCATGCCAGGTGGTTGCCCTCCTCTTTTCCCCAGTCAGCCCCACTTGTTTGGAGATAGGACCAGTAAAGAACCTTTACTTAAATAAAAAAGTCAACTGTTGAGAGGGGAAAGAGCCATCAATTTTTAAAAAATAAGAAGACAGACAGCATGAACCAGCCTCAGCTCCCTGTGAGCAGGACAAGATGCTGCTTGGCTGTTAGTATGGATTGTTCCAAGATGGGCCACAGTAAAGGGACCCTGGGAGAATGGGAGAAAATACAGAATAGAGCCTCAAATTTAAAACAAAACCACAAAAATAGATCTACCTGACAGGTTGCAGCTGGAGGAATCCCTGAGACTGTTGTGCTGAGATAGCCCTAAACTTTAAACTTAAACTAATCCATGTGCTAACCCTGTAGCTAAATAGCAAATTGTTTAATAATACATAAATAAGAACAGTACTTATAAGAACTCTGCTCTTTTAGAAAATCACCTGTTTAAGACAGGACTGTCAACAATTCTAAACAAATGAGACTATAAAGGAGACAGGGTGACTAGATTAATGGAACAGGAACCAAAACAGAAGTAATGAGGATGTTTATGCATTGTGACGAAGATAGCCAGTGTTACTGAACAACTCGTGTGTAGACATACCTAAATTGCTGTGTAATTAATTCTTCACTGAGTAACATCATCATCATAATTTTTTAAGACTCTGTTATCTGGAGCCTCTTAGGGAGTTCTTTGTTCTCGATAGCTGTGTTTTGACTGGTTAAAGTCCAAAACAGCTGTTTTCAATTGGGATGCACATTTTGCTTCAGTTTTACTTCCTGTCTTTATCAACCTTCTTGTTGTTAGTGTTATATGCTGTCGAGTTGCCTGCAACTCATAGAGACCCTGTGTACAACAGCCCTAAACCCTGCTCTATCCTTTGCCAGTCTTACTGTCTCTGTCACACCTACCCCCATTTCCCCAGTCACTGAATCAATCCATCTCATCAAGGGTCTTCCTCTTGGCCGTCCTTCCACCCTCCCAAGCATGATGTCCCTCTCCAATGACTGGTCCCGCCTTGCAACATCTCCAAAGTGTATGTCAGACGAAGCTTCAGAATCGTTGCCTCCAGGGAGCAGCCCAGTCTCACCCTCTCTAGGACAAACCTGTTTGTTATCAATTTTACATTCTGCAATTTTTTTTTTCCTAACACAGGTCATAATTTGGAATACCTGTTTTATAATTCGTAGATGCGCTTAGAGATGAAGTGATGGGTTTATGTGCAAGTGTGTGGTATAATATACTCAACAGTTTATTTATAGTATGCTCACTTTTATTTAAACTCTTCATTTGTGGCATTTGAGATTCTTTGTCAGTCACCTGAACCAAAACCAAAGTTCTCATCTTGCTAAAGCCTGGCTGTATTGCGGGCAAAATGAAACTAAACTGAACTAAGCTTAGAAGTAAAACACAAAGGCTTTAGGTATTGGCACTTCAACTGCTGCCTTCAGAATCATGGAGTCTTTTTGGCTTACCTGTTGGCTCTTGCCTTTGTTCTGGTGGTGGCTGGCAAGGTCAAGGATGTGCACATTGGTAAAAGCTCTGGGAGGCAAAGCAGACCCAGTTCTTGAACCTTACCTGGGATTAAGAGGCGTGTCTTCTCTCACCTTCTGGAAGGATAAATGGGCAGCTTAACATTTCTTCTAACCCCCTGTGCAAGTCAGCAAATATTAAGGCTCTCTAGCCATGTCCGAAGGTGACCTTCCCAACTTTCCATGCCCAAGAGGATGAGCCGATGAGCCCCTCTTAGAGCAGCTCTGAGACTCTGCTCACAGCCTGGGCTGGTGCTGTAAGAGCCAGGGGACAGAAGTAGGGCAGCAGACAGGGTGAATGGAAATAGAGTTCTTGTGGAATCTAGATATAGGAACTTGTTTTAAGACACAGCAACTGAAAAATCATCTGATGGAGCCTGCACTTACTTAGTTCTGTAATTTTTAATTTAGTGTTGAAAAGATTTTTATTCTCTGCCAAACTTGTTGATGTCTCTTGAAAGAGATTGGTACTTAATGCCTCAAAATGCCAAGTTTGGTCGAAAGCATCCGTGTTATCAAATTGACTGGGATTACTTTTACCTCATCTCTTGACCAGCTTCAGGAAGCTGAGTAACTCATGGTGAAGTCTTTCAGACCCAGGTATCTTGCTGTAATCTTTGTGTCATTAATTCACTACATAAACAGAATACTTCTCTCCGTGGAATTTTGCAAGCCAGCTCTTGTCTCTATTCCTGAAAAGCATTGTTCCTACAGACCAAAGTCCTAAGGGCAGTGAACAAAGTGCTCACTTACTTTGCCTGCTAAGTAACTCACAGTTCTGCCCATGAGCCATGAATTCCTTTTGTACTATCTTAATTCTGCAAGTTTGAAAGAACACTTCTCAGCACACAGATCCCAAACTTAGGTCATGGGCTGGGAGGATCATTAATACAGTGCTAGTCTCTTCTGTATACCCAGGCTTGGACCGCTATAGTTTGTCATCTCTTGACAAGGAAGATGGGAGACCTCATTATATCTCTACTACTCCTGGAGTTCAGGAAATGTCGTGCTTTGCTGTGGCTTAGGGGACAGATGGGTAGGGGTAGGGTTGTAAAGGGGATGTTTCATGAGTTGGAATATTTGAAAGTATATTATTACTAATTTATATCTAGGTTTATCTGTGCCATAAATTGCATACTAGAGATCTCTCTTTGTCTTGAAAAATCTGTGTTTTATTTATAATGAAAAAAAATCATGTCACCCATCTTGGCTGATACAGGACATGCCCTTGGCAAATGGGGCTACTCCAGGCCAAAGGCTCTTGAATCTGAACTCTGCCTATGAGAATATTTTCTTTTCTCCTTGTAATGTTGGTCTAACATAAAACTTTTTTTCTTCCCTTAAAATCAAGTATATTTTGTCTTGGACTTTGAAGCACATAGTAGAAGTCCCTGGAGTTGCAGGATTCATGCTTTAGACCATGCTTTGTTGCTGTGATACTGAGAAGTTTGTTTTGCCTTTCTCTCCAGGCTGCTAGTTAGTGCCTCACAAGATGGCAAACTTATCATCTGGGACAGCTACACCACCAACAAGGTAAGAGTCGGGGTGGTCCCTCCCCTGCACACCCAGACACGGGAGATATTCTCACTCTAGGTACATGCTCATTGTACGAACAGGGAGTGAGGAGCAGAAACAAAGTGAATTTTGTTGGTAGTGAATTCTTACAGAGGGGGTAGGAGCTACATCCTGCAGCTAGCTGATTTACTCTGTCTTCTAATAGACCAGGTACAATTCTGTTGTAGTTTATCTTCTTTTTAAAAAAATACTTTCTCATGTTGCTGGGAAAACTCACAGTTTAGTCTATCTTAACATTTCTTTCTTTCTTATATTTACATTGTAGAAATACATTTTTTCATTTAGTTATTAGCTTTGTAAGAGATAATCTAAGAGATGTCATAATTTGGACTATCATTAGATATGTGTTTTGTTGGGTTTTTTTAATCCAAAGTTGTATTGGGTCAAATGGAAAAATGCTGTCGTTTTTCAGATACCTACATGAAAGGTATAACTCTGTTATATTTTAGGGAGTTCTGATGACCTAGTGGTAAGGTGTTATGCTGCCAGCCTAAAGGCACTGGGCACAACTCCACGAACTGCTCTGTGGGGGAAAACATGCCATTTACAGGCTCTGAAAACCCACTATGAGTTGGTTCTAACTCACTGGCACTTAAGAACAATATAACTCACCCCCCATTGAGTCTACAAGGCTATAAATCACATGAGAGAAGATTACCCATCTTTCTCTCAGAGAACCACAGGTGGATTCAGATGGCCAGAGACATGTGGCCTTTGGATTGGCAGTGCAATGCTACTTGTACCATCAGGTTGAAATGGACCCATAGCTGGTGCTCTAGCAGGTTTTCAGAGGCAATACATTACTCATGGGAGTTGGTTTCCCATCTTTGTCCTGCGGGGAAGCTAGTGGATTCAATCCATACATCTGTGGTGAATTCAATCCATTTTCCTGTGCAGAAGTGGTTTGGGGTTTGTTTGGGTTTTTTTAATGACCTTATAGCCAAAAGTGTCTTATGGTTATTGTGCCATTTTGCTCAGGAGGTGCTGCTGTCCTTGTTATTCTACCTAAACTTAAAGTGTAACTTGAAGAAAAAAAAATTGACGTTTCTTTATGCAGTCCTGGACTTCTAAATTGTTTTTTCATCTCCCCGTGCTAATCATTTTCAAAATCATGTTGGCATTATTTTACTCTTACTCTATATGGAAGGAAAGCTAAAAACTAGAGGTAAAGTTACAGCACTAGTAATTGATAATCAAAATGTGGTTGTATTTGTATCATCTGTCTCCTAGGTCCATGCCATTCCTCTGCGTTCCTCTTGGGTCATGACTTGTGCATATGCCCCCTCTGGAAACTATGTGGCCTGTGGTGGCCTGGATAACATCTGCTCCATTTACAATCTGAAAACTCGTGAAGGGAATGTACGCGTGAGTCGTGAGCTGGCTGGACACACAGGTACAAATCTGCGTGCTGTTGACCTGGGTGCACTCTCTGCTTAGGACACTTAACTGCTTCCCAGGAAGAACTTAATGAGATTGATTCAAATAAGAGGAAGTATCTGAAAACCACAGACCTTCCAGAAACATCTGTGCCAAGGAGATGCTTCCTGTTGAGAGTGGTGTGGTGCCTGTATCTTCCCTGTCTGAGCAGCCATCACTGACAGCAGCCAACTTCCTTTTCACATTATCACAATACAGTTCCATCCACTGTCTTCTCACCCATCTCCAATCTTGAGCACCACAGATAATTTCCTCCCTAAAATAAGTGTTCATGCACATCCCACTCTGAATTCATCAGTTGTGCACTTCCAGTCAGTGAGGCAGAGCAGAGTTCTGTGAGCTGTTGTTGTTTGAACATAGCCACCTTTACATGTTGAGTGAGAATTTTTTTTAATACTAAAAAGAAACTGTCATAGTTAAAGATTTAAACAGTGCTACTTCTGGGAGCTCGTGTGGTATAGGCCCTAGGGAATTTCAGGGCTAACCCGAAGGCCATATTTCTGGCAGAGCACCTCAACCTTTCTTGAGAAAGGCAGTCTCTTCTGATGCGATTGCAGCCTCAGAAACTATGTGGAAGATCAATTATGAGTTGGTTCTGACTTGACAGCAATGAGTTTGAGTTTTGACTATTTCCTTTGGTACCAGTAAAGTAGTCTGTTAAGTCATTTTGACCTGGTAAGAGTATGTCCTTTCTATTGCAAGTATATCCAAATGCCTTATCTATATGTCATTCATTTCCACTCAGCTCTTTTCCTTCTTATCTCTAGGGTTGCTCTCCTAAATTTTTTAGTCTCTTAAAGTCAAACATTAAGCCATATACTTTGTTGTTGATTGCCTTCAAGTCGCGGACAACTCATAGCGACCCTGTGAACAAAAGGCCTGAAGCCCCTCTACAACTATCGACATTTATCAAAATTCATAGTTTCCAGAGGCATGTTATTTAGGAAGTGGGTGCCACTCCTGCTTCTAAGCCATATACTTTAGGCCTTTTTAAATTTTCTAATGTAAACACTTAGAAGCTATAAACGTCCCTCTAGCATGACTTGCACTACTTTACACAAACACTGGTGTATTTTATGTTAATCATCATTTCCATGTGAAATATTTTACTTTCTCTTGTGATTTCTTTTTTTCATCCATAGCTGCTTAGAAGTATATTGTTTAAGTATTAGGTATTTGGGGTTGTTTTGTGTTGGTTTTTTTTTGTTGTTGTTGTTTTTTCCAGGTAACTGTTGTTACTGATTTCATGCTTCTGCGTCCTAAGGATATATTCTATATCATTTCTGTTCTTTTGAATTTATTAACACTTGTTTTCATGGGGAAATTTTCTATCATGGTTGAGCACTGCAGAATAAAGTGCAGGTGGAAGGTGCCTGGGCCCTGTTTTCTCTACATGTGTTAGTTAAATCATGGTGTTTTAATATTGTTCCTATCTTTCGTAGCTATACATTTTCCCTATGAATTCCTGAAATAGGGATGCATGCAATTCTGATTGTGTATTTGTCCGTTTCTCCTTGCAGGTCTGTTGTTTGTTGCTTTGTATCTCTGAACGCTCTCATTGAGCTGCACCATGCTGCTCTAGAAGCTGGGCTTCTGCAGGAGCCCTTGTCAGTGCTGTACACTTCAGGAAAGACTTTGGTTAAGCTGATGTTTTAATGGTCCTTAAACCAGTATCAGCTTACAATGTTTGGTACTGTCATTTATTTTCATCAGATTGAGTGTATCTCCTTTAATTTTTAAATAAAGGATGTGCTGTTAGATTTGTTAACACATAAGAACATTTTTTAAATGGTGCAGGAGAGAATATCTCCAAAATTTTCCATTTCATAACATTTTACGTTTTGTGAGCTGCCCCTTTAAAATTATATGGCTTTTGTGCGAGCTCTGGTGGCCTAGTGGCAGGAAACTGCACTGCAATCCCAGAGGTGCGCGGTTCAAATCCACCAGATGCTCTGCTGAAGAAGGAGGAACAATCACCTCCTGTACCAGTCAGATCCAATTTGACGGTACACACATTAAAAAAAAATTATATGGCTTTTACAAATTTTTATGGCCTTTAGACTTGATAAATTCCTTCAGCCTCAAATCTATAAAGGTGAAGATTTGATAAATGTAAAACAGTGTTTATTTTTAACAAGGGGGAAGGTGTGAGATCTTATTGGTTTGACTGTTTATAGACAGGGTTGTTGATTGCTGTTGTCTTGTTTAAACTTTAAAGAATCCAGTGGATGAGTTTAATGTTCTTCATTTATACCTGCTTCTTCCTGATCTAATTCAAATTAATCTTTTAGAAAAGGAATAATACATATATGACATAAAGAAACATACTTTAATGTGTTGCTGGAGAAGGAAGAACAATCTCCTCCTGTGCCAGTCAAATCTAATTTGACAGTACACATACACAAATAATAAAAATTAAAAAAAACAAAAGAAGAAGAAGAAACATACTTTACTGCTAGGAATATCAGGGTGAACCTGTACTATGGGTAGGACACATTTATAATTGATAAAAAAGTAGCAATTGCTGAGAATTTGCCTTCTAAGTGTGGGATTTTTTTGGTACGCATGGTTGAAAAGTTACCTTACAGAATCTTAGAAACTCGGTTGCACAGAAAATAACTGTTCCTCAAGATGCTCATAGTAGACTTAGCAAGTCTTTTTGATTCTCCGTGAAGGTGTACAGAAGCATTGCTTACAGTCAGATGACACTGTTGTTAATGAATTGTGTGTTGCTATTGTTTCCATTAATGACAAGCCCATATGGAACAAACAGAAGCTCTTTGCTACCCAGGTTTTAGAAACTCTTTTGGCAGTACTTAAGGGAAAACATCAGATGGGCTTTCTGTCTTGTCAATGTTTAGTCTTTTAAGATTCTGACTTACAAAAGAAAGGATCTCTCTGAAAATAACTCACTGAGTGAATTCATAGTGATCAGAATTAAACATACATGTTAATTATCAACTTAGTACCTATAGACTAGAATTTCACAAGTCTTGTTTTGGGGAAAGTAATATTTATAAACACATTTCTATTGTAATTGATAACATTTTAACTTTCTGTTGTTTTTAGGTGCTTTTGAGCCATTTCCAGCTTAGAACAACTCCACATGATAAAATTTTCTAGACTAATCTTTTTTTCTGTTACAGGAAATGTATTAAACAAAAGGCTTTTAACTTTTAAAAGAAACACGTGCACCTGAATATAAATTAATGAAAATAACACATCTGCATAGATAATTGTTCAAATCATAGCCATCCTGTGACCCTATGTACAACAGAACAGAGTTGTCGCTATGTTTGATCCCATTGGTGGTGGTGTTACGTGCCGTCGAGTCATTTGCGACTCATAGCGACCCTATGTACAACAGCCCTAAACCCTGCTCTATCCCATGCCAATCGCATCGCCTCTGACACACCCATCCCGATTACCCCAGTAGCCCTTGTAAAAATCTGTTTTCTTCAATGGTGATTAATTTTATAAAACATAATACATGAGATTAATTGTATGAAACAATGTGAATGAAGAATAGTGTGAAACAGTGTATACGAACTTTGTTCGCAAACCAGTAAAAAAAGAAAAATCCATTTCCTTCAGGGTCTTCTTTTGCACTGACCCTCCACTAGGCAGTACTCTTATGGAAATAGTCACCAGGTCTGTCCCTTGTGGAAATTTTGTTTGGGTTTGAACTACTAACCATTCGATTAGTAGCCATGTACTTAAACGTGGTGCCACCCAGATTCTGTTTTAAGTTCATTAATGGCTCTTATTTTTGTTAATAAGAATATTTTTCACATTCTAACTCTTTGTCTCCCACTCTTGTACACACTTCTGGGATTGCCTGCAGAACAGATACCCCAGGGGTTAAACCCATGGACACACAGTTTACACTTGTCTTAGGCATTTCTGACAGGTTGTTTGACCATGATGGCGCTCCACCAGCTTTTCAAGATTATCAGTATTAACAGAAGCGAACTACTGCTTCTCATATAACCCACTACAGGGTTTCTTTTTTCCTCAATCTCACCCTGTATAATAGGCCAGTTTTCTTGTTCTGAGAATGTTCTTGTCACAGTGGCCAAGAACTTGTAAATACGCTTAATTAGAAGTATAAAAGGTTTTTCAGTACCGCCTTTAATTGCCTGCTGACATTTGGCTCTTGCTAGCACATACCATGGACATGGGCAGTGTCCTCCTGTGCAATTGACATCCTCTGAAAAGCTGCTGGAGGGTCAGCTATGGGTTGATTCCTACTCCATGGTACTCAGCAACAAGTGTATGTACTTCACTGGCCAAACCTTCATTTTCTACAGAGTTTGTTCCTGTGGTCAGATGTTGAAAATTCCATGATTGTGTGTGTGCACAGGTCCTTAGATGGTTCACACAGTGAAATATTTGCTGAGAGATCGGTGCTTCAAACAGACCTTACCGTCTGTTTCCAAAAGGGCACAGCTTTAAAGATCCTGTGGCACAGTTCTCCTCTGCACGTGAAGTGCATCACCACGTGTCAGAGTCAACTCAGCGGCACCTAACAGTAGCGAGCAGCAGCACTTTCTAGACCTTGGGTTCAGATGTGCCTTGCGTCCTCTTTTCTTGACCCTAGGCTTGCATATTCTCCTCTTTCTGTTTTGCCTCTGGGGTGTCTCACAAGCTCTAAGGTCAACTCCTAGAACAAGGCCATCCAGTTATAGTACTTCTTCCCCAGAAACAACCCTTGACCCTGAGTTGCTGGGCACCTTCCTCACTTACCCTACCTTTCCTCAGATCCTCTTGCCTCCCGTGCACTCTTCAGCTTGTTCTTCCACCAGGCCCCAACCCCCTACACTTGGCGGTCAGCCACTTCCAGGTCCCATCCAGTTCACTCGCACTGCTCCTGGGACTGAGCTGCACTGCACCTGGCATGACCAGCACAAAGCTTCCCAAGCTGTGTCTGTGGCCTGTATAACTGCGAGTCATCCCCCCTGTCAGTCACACTGTGCAGGCTAGAGGGGGCGGTGATGGCGTCGTCACCACACTCTGGCATAGGTTAGGCTTTCAGAAAGTTCCCACCAGGATGGCAAGGTTTTCTCCCGAAATGTCCCATGCACTCCTGTCTTTAGTAACAATAGTTGTGGTTACCATCATTTTTTAAAACATTTCTTATGTGCACATTCAGCTCTGTTCTTAAGAAGTTAGGTTAGTATGAGAAAACTGGTACTCAGGTTAAAGATTTTGTGGAAACTTTCCTGGTTGGCAAGCCACCAAGTTGAGAATCAATGTAGTGTGTTTTGTTTGGGTCCTATTAACAGTGCTTCTTGCATGTTGATGGTTTAAGTCAGTGAATATTCACTGAACTTAAAAACTGATTCCACCTTTTCTTTCTTTTTAGTGGGGAGAAATAAAGTTGTAAAATGTGATAATTATACAGTGGTTGGTTGTTTTTGTTATTGTTGATTCAAATTTTGGGGTGTGGGGTTCCCCCCCTTATTACAGTGAGGTATAAATGAACCAAAAGGTAGGGGCATAGTCTCCCTACAAGCTTTGTTTAATTAAAAGTAGCATTTGTGTAAATGTTTAGAAAATTCAAGCTACAAAAGGAACACTAACTCCTTCCCCCTCCATTTTCTGTTTCTGGGAGATAACCACTGTTAGCCTTGATGCGGGCTTCCCTAGGCTTACGTTCACCTCAGGGGTCAGCAAGTACCCTGCTTGCCCCGCTGGGAGAAGTGCACCTCTCAGATTTCACTGTGGACTTTTCTAGCCTTTGTCTTGTCTTAGAAATCCTGACATAACCACATTCACTCTTGCCAGGACATTATTTCTTGTTTATTTGTTTGTTGTGTATATACACCAAAACATACACCATTTCCACATTTAGAGTTCATTGGCATTGACTGTGTTCCTCTTGTTGTGTCACCATGCTTGTCATTTTCTTCTCCACATTGTTGCATTAACTTAACTCCTGCCTCCTGAGCAGAGACTCCGATGCCTTTCTCACTCCACATGAGATTAATTAACTTTTGTTTCTTTTATAATAATCCTTTTTAAAAAAGGATTCATTTTAAAAATTCTCTGATGTATCAACAAATCTAACAACAGCACAGCCTTTAATTAAAATCAAAGGAGGTTTTTAAATGGTTTTTTTCTTTCTTCTTTTTATTAATTTTAATAGACATTTACAGAGGTTTTGGATTTTTTCATATTTTATAGTCTTATTTCATTAGCAAATAGAGATCATAACAGTATGTCATGATCTATTTTCATCAGTATGATGTTTTCACAGCTTATCCATGTTGCAGCGTGCATTAGAATTTTATAGTTGAGTAATCTTTTGTTAAACGTGTGTGCCCTGTTTTGCTTTATAAATGTGGTTGTTTTCCCAGCCTTCGTTCTCTAGTAGCCTGTCACTGGTAATTGCATGGTAATTGGATGGCTCCAGAGCCTCTGATCATTTAACAGTACTCAGGAACCATTAGTTTAGAATTTGTCTCTAGTTCTTGAGATGAAGAGCTGATGAGAATGGTTGCTCAGAGATGGTTTCTGAAGGAAAGGAACAATTAAGCTGACTTGAAGCAAGAAATGATGTGAACCAGGAAATAGAATGCCATTTTAGGGAGAGGAATTGAGCAGAGGCTCAGAAGTAAGAAAATAGGATCCTTGAGAGATTGGCAGCCCCTAGAAGAGCTCTGCGATGCCTGAAGGTGTGGAATGGGCATGTTGTGTGTGGTATGTGGCATGGAGTGAGCCCCTGGGCGTACCTATATGTCTCTTCCTAGTGGGCTTTTGGGGGATGCTTGAGTAGCCTGTTCTCTAGGCCCATAGCTATAGAGTCTTTGTTTTCTGAATATTTCTCTGTGGTACCTGTTTATCTTTTTCTGTTCAGAAAGTGACTGTCTCCCTCCATTATCTCTCCCACAAGCAGACTTTCCAGTGGGCTCGCTTCATATTCACATTAATTTCCTTTTTCTAACTCACTCACAGTCACTAAACTTCTCTGGCACAGGCTTGGCTCACCTTGTTTGAAAAGTGTACCGTCACATTGACATCTGTGTATGTCTCCTCAGTTTAAGAAGTGTGGCTGTTAGCTCCGTTGATGAGAAGGCTAGGGCAGTTCAAATCCATCAGATTCTCCACTGGAGCAGGAAGGGCAGTCTCCTCCAGTGCCAGTAAGATCTGATTTGACAGTTCAATACAGAAAAAAAGAAAGTTAAGGTCGCCTGTTGTCAGGTCTGGGCAGGCTTCTTGAATGCCTGTGGGCCCTGGTTGGGTGAGTAACTCATTGCTGTTCTTTAAGCCAAAACAAAAGCACAAAATAATAACCAGCTGGGTGATTGATTGGAGATCTGACCTTCTGACATGCACTCTGTAGAGTTGTTTTTTTTAAACTTTGTCTTTTCTCATTTCAAAAATGATTTAAGATGGGGCATCATAAGCAGTGCCCACCAGTCCCAGAGAAATTCTCCACAGGATGGGTAGTGAAGTGTCTGCAATCCAGGCCATGTTCGCAGTGCACCGTTTTAACGGTGGGAACACAGCTGTTTCCATCTCACTTACCTGTTGTCCTGGCAACTGTCTTTACAGAATCCTCAATTCCTCATAGGTGCTGGCAGAGCATTTTCTCCACTTCCATAGAATCACTGCACAAAACTGGTTTTTACAGCCTTTTCTTCTTCTGTTCTCATTCCTTTCCTGATTTCCAAACCTTGAACTAACCTGCCTATGATTCTGACCTCTTTTCCACCCAGCAAGCCCTCCTGCCTCCTTCCCAAAACAGACAGCCTTCTTGTACCTCCCTCCCCAGACCCACCTTGCCAGCCAGGGCCCTTCCTTTCCTTTTCAGCTCCTTGAACTGCACTCTCCACTTCTTTTATCTCCTCTGTGGTGGTTTTATCCTTTCTCCTCTCTGGAGGCAGGTCCCAGGCACAGGCAAGGGCTCTTTTGTTCAATAATCTTGGAAGTGCCTAGATTGCTCCCCACTTCCACACCAGAATAGATATTTATTTGATAAAGAAGTAAAAGAAGGGAGAAGGCAGCTCCAGGCTTTGATTTGTTGAGCAGGAAGTGGATGAAGAGATCCTTGTGACTGTGAACACTGTTGTTTGGTCTGTATCTGGTCAGTGCATTCACTGATCTCGATGAGTGGGGGGAGGGGGGAGGGCTGTAATCTGGTGTTCCCCAGTAGGCTAGTGCCTCCTCTTCCCAAGTGCTCCCGCCCAGCAGTGTCTCCTCTCACCGGGTACTCTCCATCACCCAACAGTGCTGCTCCACCATGGCCTCCTCTTCCCTGGGTGCTCCCATTCCCACCCACATCAGTTCTCCCACCCTTCCTTCCCTCATTTTTTTTTCTGCCATGCGGAAGATCATGGCAAGGTATTCAGCTTGGTTTAATATAGATAACTTCTCATTATGTTTATTTATAAGAGTACAGCACCAGGCCTGCTGGACATACTCATCATTTGGGTCTCCCATTTACCAGGTTACTTGTCCTGCTGCCGCTTCCTGGATGACAATCAAATCGTCACCAGCTCTGGAGACACCACCTGGTAAGTAGCTGGCTGGAACAGGCAGCATACGGTCCTGCCCAGCAGTCATGGCTGCTCCAGTCTCTGCCCACCCTACAAGCTGGTGAGGAGAATCTGAGTGAAGAGAGTAGGGGAAGCAGGTCCTGACATGCATTGTTGTTGTTGTTGTTGTTGTTATGTGCCATCGAGTCGTTTGCGACTCATAGCGACCCTATGCACAACAGCCCTAAACCCTGCTCTGTCCTGCGCCAACCGCACTGCCTCTGACACACCCATCCCGATTACCCCAGTCACCGAATCAATCCATCTCATAGAGGGTCTTCCCCTCCTGTGCCGTCCCTCCACCCTCCCAAGCATGATGTCCCTCTCCAAGGACCCGTCCCTCCTGGCAACATGTCCAAAGTATGTCAGACGAAGCCCCAGAATCCTTGCCTCCAAGGAGTAGCTTGGTTTAATCCTCTCCAAGATGAATCTGTTTGTTTTCCTGGCAGTCCATGGTACATTCAGTACTCTTCTCCAGCACCACAGCTCAAAAGCATCCACTCTCCTTCTGTCCTCCCTAGTCATTGTCCAACTCTCTGATGCATAACAAGTGATTGCAAAGACCATGGCCTGTATCAGGTGCACCTTAGTCTCCAGAGAGACACTGTTGCTCCTGAGTACTTTAGAGAGGTCCCTAACAGCAGACTTTCCCATCGCAATATGCTTTTTGATTTCCTGACTGCTGGTGCCAAGAGTGTTGACTGTGGAGCCGAGCAAACTGAAGCTATGAACAATCTCAATCTCTTCGCCATCCATCCTGACGCTGCCAATTGGTCCAGTGGTGAGAATCTTTGTCTTCTTGACATTGAGCCTCAGTCCATACTGAAGGCTGCAGTCCTTGAACAACCGCAACAAAAGCAAGAGGTCCTTCTCATTTTCAGCAAGCAGGGTTGTGACATGCATTAGACCATCTTTTAATTTCAAATGGCCCTTTAAAATGGTCTTGAACACAAAACAGCAATGATTGATCAAGGTGTTCCTGATACGTTTCTAGATTTCGAAGCTTAAAAATTTAGTTTTATATTAAGAATTTATTTACAGATCTTTTAAACTACAGTCTTGTGCAAGGTTCCTATCTTTCTCTTTTCCCCTGTGTGTTTATACCTGTCTCAGCTGGAGTGGCATCCACTTCTAAACAACATGCCCCTGGAACCTCTATGAACTTTGAGAAACCACAATAGTTACAGAAAGGCTTCAAGTCTTTTGTTGATAGAGTTCACTGTGAGTCGTGCTTGACTCGACAGCAGTCAACAAGAAGTTTACTTAATATTCCTCTGGTCTCATTATTTTACCGGTGACAAGCATGTTTTAAAGTAGATTAGCTAGTATCACAGTTGCAGGTGAATTCTATAAAATGTCCTAATTTTTTAGAAATTATGTTCCTGAATTTTCCACATTTTACTAATAGATATGAAACCCAGTAAAATAAGCTCTACAAAGTTTTTAATTGTTGCATCAAGATATATCATGTGAAGGCTCAGGTACTCTTGAGACTCCTTAATGAGGAGGATTTGTCGTTGTTGTTTTTGGTGTTGTTTTTTTTTTTTCAAACTTTAAGGCTCATTTTAGAAGCAAACTGTCCTGATGACATGGAGTTTTTGTTTTGGGGTGAGTTTGAGGAGGGGAAGTGTGAAGGAGCTGCAGTGTAGCCAGCTCTGGTCAGCACTCGAGGGACCTGGTTCCTTCCTGTGTCCAGCTGCCAGGCTCAAGTCCCCCTTTTCTCAGACTGCTCAGCTTGGAGGCTTGTATTGAATTATAAAATGTCCTTTTTATGTCAATTGCATTGATTCACAAAAGACTGATAATACAGAACTTCACTCTTGGGAAGGATTTCCTTATTAGAAATGTTTTAAATGTGGTTTCTTAGGGGAGCTCTGGTGGCCTAGTGGCAAGGAGCTGCAACTACAATCCTAGAGGCACACGGTTCGAATCCACCAGGTGCTCTGCCGGGAAAAGGAGGGACAATCTCCTCCTGTACCAGTCAGATCTGATTTGACAGTACACGCACACAAAAATTAAAAAAAAAAATGTGGTTTCTTTATGAGTACTCTCCCTAGCCTTTAGGAATAACATGCTTCCTTCCTCACTCCAAGAAGGGAGAAACCCCACCCATGTGGCTCACAGTGGTGAGTTTGATGGGACTACACAGTGACAAAGGGCAGCCCAAACCAGAATCCCCAGGAATGAATGATGTCATGAAAATGTAAGCGGTGCTGCTCTCTGTAGTTGAAATGCAGAGACTGACACAGGCTGTGGTGCCATTGACATCTCCTTGACTGCCCATGCCACGTAGGTAGTGGTTCCAGCTCACAGCCACAACATGACAACTGCTTCTGTCTGTGTGCCCAAGAAGCCAACGGGCCCTTAGTACATCCTGGTCCTTGTTTGCCTGGAGGTGTCCCTAAATCCAGCTCTTCTTCTAGAGAAGACAAGGGAGAGACAACCTCGGGTAGCACTGTCCTCTCTTCCTTCTAGACATGAGCCAGTTGGCCCCCCGCCACTGTGCCTGGCACATTCTTCAGTATCTGTGTCCTGGAACGAACACAGTCACTCTTGTTAAGGGGGGATCTTATGTCAACATAGAGACCACTGTGACCTTTAAGCTTAAAGTTTCATTTATTTTCTCATTTGTTTTCTTGCTTTTCATATTACATGTTTGACTTATGTAAGTTAAAATTGAAGCTTGGAAGTTCTCAGTGATTCTGGAGTTAAGTTTGTCCCTTGAGCACTTGTTTCATAGGTGAGCCTAATACCCTGTCCTCTGCTCTTGCCCAGTGCGCTGTGGGACATAGAGACTGGCCAGCAGACGACCACATTCACAGGACACACTGGGGACGTCATGAGCCTATCCCTCGCTCCAGACACCAGATTGTTTGTCTCTGGTGCTTGTGATGCTTCGGCCAAGCTCTGGGATGTGCGAGAAGGGATGTGTCGGCAAACCTTCACTGGCCACGAGTCTGACATCAACGCCATCTGTGTAAGTGCTGGCACTACAGCCGCGGGGCAGCCTGCTCCCCCATTGGTGGAGTCGTGCTGTCTATTCTTAAGTTTAAGAGGCTTCTTGGCCAGGTGCTCCTCCTCACTCTTCTCTGCATGCAGTGTACAGATGATAATCTTTCCTGCCTTTGAATGCCGTGTTGCCAGTATTTCTTTTTAAACATTCGCCCGTTGTCTCTCTTTGCTTTCTCTTTGCAGTTCTTTCCAAATGGCAATGCATTTGCCACCGGCTCAGATGACGCTACTTGCAGGCTGTTTGACCTCCGTGCAGACCAGGAGCTCATGACTTACTCCCATGACAACATCATCTGCGGGATCACCTCTGTCTCCTTCTCCAAGAGTGGGCGCCTCCTCCTTGCTGGCTATGATGATTTCAACTGCAATGTCTGGGATGCTCTCAAGGCTGACAGGGCCGGTAGGTGATCCCCGAGGCTTTCCAGTGCTCTCCGACACTTCTGAAAATATCTACCAGTGTGGACACGACTCACTAGCTGCATGTGTCTCAGTCAGGGAGTGCCTGCAGGTTAGTGGTGAGCATGATTATAGTCCCCCAAGTGTTCACACGTGAAGTACACATGCAAGAGTGGATAAGGCAATGTGGCCGTTCCAGAGCCAGCAGCCCGGCCATGCTGCCCTGTGACACCTGCCCTGTGTCCTCTGGCTCATGGCACATGTGCAGTGTTGATGCTGAGTGTGGCATATAGAGGAGAAAGCACTTCTCGCATAAATGCAGAAGAGTTTTTATCTTATCGATTCCAAAGGAATCTCCTAGAGCAAGACATTTCTAGTATCTGCCTGAGTCTTATTGGCCCTCCATTTCCATGCTGCTTTAGGAGCCAAGCACAGTTCAAGAAAGACTGGCTTTGTGAGTGCAATTGTTGGTTTTCCATGGTTATTTTCACGTTAGGTGTTTATATTGGAGTTTGGCTTGTTAATAATAAACAAACGGTAGCAGTCCATAATATTGACAAGGAGGAGTGTAAGCAGAACTCTCAATTCACCCTCGAGTTAGTGAAAGACTGAGAGTCCCAGAGTTGGCCGAGACCAGTGTTGTACACATAGAGCCTTATCTCTGCAGTCATTGCGCCCCTGGTGATAAGCACAGGCCCGCTCTGGGCTCCCCTACCGTAACATGTATCATCCTCCTAAGCACATGAGGAAACTGGCTGGCCTAGATGTCAGGTCAAAGGATGGTTAAGAGATCGAGCCAGCCTTGAACCTAGCATCTGGCTACAGCAGCATGGGTGCTCTGGGCCACCATTTAACACGTCTGTCGCCTCCTGTTAGGAGGGGGTGGGATGGGGCATTAGAAAGGACTGTAAGTGCAGGGAGCAGTTATGCCAAGGTTCAAGAGCAGGTTAGTGTGTTGCTGTAGCTTGTGTGGTCAGTTAACACATGGGTCACATATAAGAGAATTTTCTGTGTGAAAGATAATGTTTGTTATTAAGTGCCGTCGAGTCGCAGGCAACTCATAGCAACCCTATGAAGGAGAGTCCTTGACGCTTGGGTGCCTTTCACCCTCTCTCCAGGTTCATAGGTCCATAGATAATGTTGGATTTGGAAATACTGACATCATCAAATCAGTCTTGAGAGTAAAGGGAGAGAGAAACTTTGGGATAAGTCAGAGGACTCCTGATTTCCAGTGAGTGTCCTTCCCTGCTCATTGAGCTCCTCCTCTCAAACTTGTGGTACTGGTGCTGAGGAAAGGAGAAGTCCCCAGGCCTCACCAAGAGCCTCCGGCTCTGAGTCACCTTCTTATTCCTGTGGCAGTAATAAGTATAGAGCGTGAAGGAAGAGGGTGTCTGTGACGTTAGCCTTCTGATTGTTCTGAAGCAACGGTGAACATTCTAACTTATAATTACCTGGAAGTTTAAATGGTGGGCATGCCCTGGGTGTGGAGTCAGCACAGGGTACCCTGTGTGCTAGCACCGCTCCTCAGCTCTGGATCCAGCTTCACACCAGAGACACAGCACATGGTGATGAACCGTAAGCATGTGCAGGGTTATAGATTTAAGAGAGGCATGATTGTGATTTTTTTTTAAAATTTTATTTTAAAGAAAGAAAATAAAAACTAAGGCTTTTGTTCTTTTTCTCCTTTCTTTTATGTAGGTCAGTTTTTTACATTTCTGGAGTGAGTGCTTAAAGTCAGTAGAAGAGGCTCTAGGTTATTTACAGTTCTCTTTTAATTCCTTATTGCCCTGTTTTCTCACAGCACATTCATTACCAGGATCTTCAATATATTTTTTGTTTTATTTAAACGTATCCCTGTGGCCTTAGGTACTTTTGTGTTCTTTTTAGATGGAGACATATACTAAACTTAGTTACCTGGAACAGGAATGGTCAATAACAGTATTCCAGTTTGATTTCCACTTGGAAAACCCCTTCCCCCCCACCCCCTTCTTGGCTCCTTTCCTTGGCAATTGAGGCAATGTGGGACTTGCCTGCTGGGGGCTGGGTTCCTCCATTACCACAGACCCACAGAATGAGACCCGTCTTGTCCCTTGGAGTGACTGTGCTTTGGCTTGCTCCCCAGGTGTCCTGGCAGGGCATGACAACCGTGTCAGCTGCCTAGGGGTGACTGACGATGGCATGGCTGTGGCAACGGGGTCCTGGGACAGCTTCCTCAAGATCTGGAACTAACACCAAGAGGTAGGCAACAGTCACCTTTTCTAAAGTGTGTCTTGTGTGTACTCTATTTCCCCCAGTTTTTCACTGCATTTGATTGTGTAACCTTTTTAGGATAGCTGATAGATTTTTATTTTGGTAGAGTTGATTAGAAATCAAAGCACATATATAGCACTTGTGTGCAGACACAGACAGATGAGCCCTGGAAAGAGCTTTAGCACCAGAGAACAAGCTCACCACTTTGCACTAATTATAGATTCTGTTTCTTTTATGTTATTTTAACGTTGAATTACACTTTGTTCACAATGGCAGGTGGACTCCACGGTGACTGGAAGACCATTCCAAACCCTGACAAGTTTCAGTGATAGCATATCCGCCCAACCGTACTAACTTGGACCCCCAACACCCCCTCAGAACTTCAAAAGGGCAAGATCTTCTTTTCCTTCACTTATTGCCGAAACAAAGAGCACAATTCCCATTAAGAGAAGACTCTGGCTGTAAACTAAAATTGTGCATTCCTCTCGGGACCATTGTCTTTGTTTTCTTTTTTGTCTTGAATGAATTTTAAAAGGAAATACTATAATAAAAATGTTAACCAGAAGGTAAACTTGAGTGTAATTGTGAAACAGACAACTTTTCACTAGTTTATTTCCACTTTAGACCAGTGACCCTGTTTTGTGACGTTCATGCAAAACAAGTTGAGGACTTTGTTTTATTATCTTGTAATAGTTTCAAAATTTCAAGTCGTGTTTGTAGCAGGATTTTGGAAAAACATTCACATTTCCTTTTATTCCTTTATGTTCAGTAGTCAGCCATCAAGGGAGTCTCGAACAGCCTTCCTGAAATGGCCCATTATGTAAATTCAGTCCCTGGGTTTATTTTCTGTTCAGTGTCACGGTGCCTGTCACATACAGGCGCTGGCGTGGGGAGGTGGTGTTACTGTAAGGCCAAGCACACACCATGTGAGCTGCAAGTGGGAGTCTGAACTGTCCCCCTCCCCGTCAGCTCAGACCAGGCACCCTCTCCACTCGTCCTCTCCTCCCTTCAGCCGTTTTGAACCCTCTTGGGGTTTCTGTGGTGTTGGAGGGACGTCTCTGTGACCTGACACTACCCTGTCCCACCCTGACCATCAGGAGAGGCCCACCCTGCACTTGGGTCGTCAGTCAATTGTTTGTGTATGAAACAATGTATAAATCAATGTTTTGAAAATAATCTCAAACTTTCTAAGTTAAATTTTAAAAGATTTGATCATTTGCCATATTGGGTGGGTTTACTCTTAGAATCGCATGCTGTAGAAATGCTCAAAGTGCATATAGGACTCTGTCCTTAGATGTTTTTTCTTTACGAAGTAACCCTTCACTGTTGTCGCCGCAGCGGCTTTGTCCACCCTGTCACCGCTCTGTGCACACGTAGGCAGTACACCAAGCGGCTCTGCACGCTCCAGCAGCGGGCGCATCACCACCTCCTTTTTCTTTGAGAGAGATGTCCTGTTCCAAACGATTGCTGCTGGAATCTGAGGATGGGGCGGGAGCGGGGAGGGAGCAGGGAACAGAGATCTAACCTTCCTCTCCCCGAGGACTCATGCCCGCCACCTATAGGAAGAGCCTTTGCATCTGAAGCAGACCACTTTTATAACACGAAGATTTTCTGGGTTTTCTTGTCCCCTCAAGTGTCCAGCAGCAGCGTTTAGACCACAGGGTGTTCTGTTGGCTCTCCTGCCTACCCTCTGTCCCCGGGAACGCTCCTCCGTAGCAGCGATAGTGGCTTCTCCATTCTGTTCTCTGCAATGCCCTGTACCCACTGTGCTGTGACTGTGCGGTAGGCCTGGGTCGGCAAAAGAATAAAAGAAACCTTCCTTCCTCTTACCATAAACCACTCTGTAGAGCTCTCTGCACCTGTACCCCTTTTCACCTTTTGTATTTAATTTTAAAGTCAGTGTACTGCAAGGAAGCTGGATGCAAGATAGATACTATATTAAACTGTACTGTTATTTAAGATGTAATAAAGCAGTTTGACATGAGGGACTTGGGTCTGATTGCTTATTTAGAGTCTGATCAGCTCTGGACGTGGCAGGGGCCTGGGTCACATACTCTGACTGGTGACTAGCCTACTGCTTACATGGATCCATGGTCCACATCACAAAGAATTCATGAACTTGCCCATTAGTGGGCACCCCACAGCAAAGCCAGGGCCTGGCAGCCCTACCACCACCTCCCAGCAGACTATATACACACACATAACATGACTATTGCTTTTGTTTTCTGGCTGAAGCACCCATAATTTTTAAAATCTTAAATATTCAGTAAGGTTATAAAAAAAGGATCACTGTTGTGACTTAAATGCTTAAGTTTTTTGGTCAATATATGGAAATTACTGTGTCTTAGTTACCCAGTGCTGCAGTAACAGATTCCAAAAGGGGCTAGTTCTAAAAAAAAAAAAGCACAAAACATTTATTCTGTAAAATTAGGGAGCTCTGGTGGCCTAGTCACAGAAACGCTGCACTGCAATCCCAGAGGTACGTGGTTCAGATCCACCAGATTCTCTGCTGGAGAAGGAGGGACAATCTCCTGAAGCAGTCAGATCTGATTTGATGGTACACACACACAAAATAATAAATTAGGAGCCTAGACGTTTAAATGCCAGTTTCTTGGTGGTACTAAGAGTTTCTCACCTCAGCTTCCTTCCCATTTAATCTCTAATGAAGTCTCACAGGGACTCTTATGTTGGATTAAATTTATGATGAGATTAGGTTGCATTCTACTGTTACTCCTCCTAGTTATTTGGTTTACCAGATCGTGGAGGGTCATTACATACACGCATTTTTGGGGGGTACAGTATAACCCAACATGCTCAGTGGGAAGGAGTCAGTTGGAGATACTCCTTGAGGGTTTTCTAACTCCTGAAGATGCCCCATCTGCTGTCTGCTTTGTTTGGGACCAGTGTTACATGCACACCCCTCTTCAGAAGCAGTATTCTTTGGCAGTCCCGTGCCAGCTTGAGGCAGCCTGCCGGTTTAGGCTGCTGCAGTGGGAGTGATTGACAGCCCAGCAGTGGATCTGCCTGGCTGCCTTCTCCCCCTCTTCCTGAAATAATCTATTCTCCATAGACACATGGATTCTTTGCACATTTGAACGCTGCCAGCTGCCTTACAAAAGCCCCATTTAAAATGCTGGAGAGCATCTAAGGTTCTTCCCTTGGCTGGCAGGCTGGCAGTGCCTGAGGAGAGCAGAGGGAAGTTTAACTGATTCACAATGGAACTGGCGTGTCCTCTGCAAAAGTCCTTCCTGTGGGAGGGTCCCAGCCTAACACCTGGCTCTTGGCACATGATGTGCTTATACCCCCCTCAAGCCCACATACTCAGGCTGTCCCTTGGCTGTGACTTAGATGCTGGGAGGGATTCTGTGTTCTCAGTCAAGCAACAGCAGTCATGGGTACACAGCTCCCATCCCTTAAAAGGGTTTAGAGATGACTGCCCACTTCTCAGTAAAATCATTCAAAGGGTTGAGAGACCACTGCCCCACTTGGTCAAATCCCTCTAGAAAGTAGGTGTCAAATACTGGCATTGAGAAATTAAAAATGGCTGACAGCCAGCAGGAAACGAGACCCCCACGAGCTAAAGTTTTCAGGCTTAGTAAGCATGCACTTCTGGAATGTTCAAGACTGAATGTCACCAGTGAACCTGAGAGCCGGCACTTTCAGTCACTCAGGTCTCTTTATTCTTTGGCCTTTCTCTTCCTGGTAACACCTTGTCCTGCTGGTCCCTTTTCAGTCTCCAATACCACACTAGAACCTTTCCAACTGCCCTTGCCCCTGATGATGCCCATCTGTTGTCACAGGTGCTGCAGGTTTAAGCAGCAGGTGGCGACATAGTCCATGTGGGTGAAACCCTCCCTAACCCCAGGAAAACAGCCTGGGCACTAGTGGCCTGCCTGTCTCCTGCGCTGGCGACAGCTCCTGAACCACCCACCACCAACCTCTCTCGCTGCTCATTACCAGCCAGACTGACTTGGATTCTGGTTTTTGTGTCTGCTCTTTCGTGAGCCCAGGATACTATACCAAGATGTGTGACCATTCCTGCTGGAGGGGTGTTCACTTACTACTTGGGCACACCCTGACAATCCTTACTCCCTCCTTTTCCTTAAGGACCTCACCTGCCACTGACAGTGTGCCCTTACATGAAAGCACACAAGATGGTGAAGGGACAACTTAGTGTGGCTTTGTGCATGCACCCAAGAGGCCTGGGGGAGGGTGACAGTACTATGCACCTCAAATCTTTTCCTGGGTAGTGTTCCAGGTCAGACACCAAGTGTTGGGCTCGCAAGATTGGTACCCTGAACATCATTTCCTTGGTGTCCTTCCTGGGATGCTAACTTTGCAAACAGAGGCAGAGACTGGCTCAGGGGCACAGTCAGGTTCATACTCCAAGCCTCCTGGAGTCCTGGCCTTAGGGGCCTGTCCTGTTAGAGACTGGGAGGGGACCACCCTACATGGACCAGGGGCCAATAATCCTGATCTTCTGCAACTCCCACAAAGCTTATAAGAATCACATGTGGCCCCGTGGGAAGGATGGTGTCTCACTTGGCTGCTGGGTTTCTGTGCCTGCGCTGTGCAAGGTCTGCCCTCCTGACCTTGCCTCTTGCAGCCACTATGATTTAGAACTAAGTACAAGCATTGAGGCGTCCATCCTCCACAGTTCAAGAAGACAGAGCTAGTGGGGTGCTGGGAGAGCTGAACTACCACCATGATGCTGAACCTGTCTCAAGGAACAGGTGGGAGGGTGCAAAAATTGGGGGTGACTTAGTGTCTCTTGGCAGCTTCTCCCTAGGTACCTGTCCAGGTACCTCCTGTCCTCTGTCCCGCACATGTCCATGTGACAGTACTGCTGCAAAGAACCAGCACAGGCCTCCCAGTGGCTCCACTGGAGGGTCAAAGAGGAGCCTCTCCCTCATCTAAGTCACACCCACACTACCCCTGTACTGGGGTGGTGGCCAGTGGCATCTGAGAGGAAGGCCAGCTGACC